GAGTCAGCTCTGCATAACCAACGAACCCAAAGCCGTACTTGACTTTTATGTTCACACATTTTTCTGCAGTTTTGTTACTTTGCTATGAAAATTTTATTAACAAATTTACCTGCTGTGTTATATTAGAACGAAATCATAAGCCAGGTGTAGAATAATTGAATTAATTAATTATATCTTTATTTTTAACTGTTAAATATCAAAACTATTTTAAATATTTATAAAAGCTGCTGTGAGGATTGTGTATATTTCCTTGAAACCCTCAAAATCTTTATAACGACTCATTGAAATAGCTGAACTCCACTAGCTCCCGTTCCCATTTTTTTTTCTTCAGCCAATAAATTATTTTCCGTATAGATACATCTTCTTAAAATTTGGGACGAAGTAGTGGCAAAGAGAGGATACAATTTAAACAATATTTTTTCTAAGTTAAATAATATTTTTTTCCTCAAAAGTGCTGATCACTAGAAGTTGTTATTATAATTTTTTTGTACCAAAAGTAATCTATATTCAAAAAATGCTATTAATTTTTTCTATACCTATAATACTATTCCAAATTGCGTATGACACTAGAATAATATTTCAATCAGAGGCGAGGCGTCGAATAGTTCAGAGTGTTCACTGAACACCTTAACAAAGCTTCCTTTTTAGATCTTTTTTATATTAAGTAAATAATCTCGCTATTTTGCTATTTAACATTTTTTATAATAGCTTTTCCAAACATGTTAACATAAACAGAAAACGTATAATACAAACAAAATCACACATACATTTTTTAGTTACACCCAACATTACTTATAATTAATAAAATAGAAATAATTTATTTCAAATAAATTTCTCTTAAAATATAATAAGGTTCAGAATAAAAAATGCACCGCACTGCTTACAAAGCATGCCAATGAAATAACATTCACATTGGGACTATGTTCAGTACTGAATAAACACAAAACATACAAACAAATATAAAAATAAAAGAGAAAACAAGCCCCGCAAAATAAGTACGTAAAATAATTATAACTCTTACATTAATGCGTGCAAGCGGTTCAATAAAAAAAGTGAACTTCCAATGTTATGCAAAGTAAATACAAAAGAGAAAAAAAATGACTGAGCGAAAATCGCTTTACATTTGACTAGATCAACCTAACTAAACCATAAGATCATACAAAGCGTGCAAATACAATCAAAGTCACGGTTGCCGTTTTATATGAGCAAATGGTTCAGTAAAAAAACCGAACCGCGCTTAGTAAATACAAAGTAAAAGAGTAAATGAATGCATGAGAGTTTCTTACACTTATGTAGTGGTTGGAAATAAACCCAAAACAAAGTCATTATTGCAATTTTATACTAGCAAATGGTAAAAGTAAAGAAAAAAATTAAAGAAATTTGAAGTGGAAAATAATATTTAGAAATGGATAAATGTGTGATTAAAGATTTGATTCAGATATCTTTTTTTTAAACAATCTTCTGAAAAATGGTTTTAATTCATAAAATGAATAGACTAACTCCAGATATGAAGAATTTGGTACCTGTTGTAAAAATGTCGAAATCTGTGATAAGTCGCCGTTTTCCTACAGGTATTTACCATAAAAATCACAGGCTGCGAACATTTAAATATATTGTTTTGTTGGTCTTGTACGCTATGTGCTTGTGGGAAGGACAAAACTCAGGAGTAGGTAGAATACGTTATAGTTGGAATTCAGTTTTGATCAAATTGTGAACACCTTGCCAAAAAGCTGACGCTTCGCTACTGATTTCAATATACAACCGACCAAGATATTTGAAGCAAAACCTAATTTCCTACTCATCATTTGATTCAAATTACAAAACAAATATCGTATCATATTATCGTATTATTAAATATATATTATATTATTTAATACGGCATTAATTTATTTGCTGCTACTATTTTAAATTTATAACAATTCATGAAATTTATAACATGTCCTAACATGTATTATAATATTATAATTATAGTAATATGTTCCAGGAAATGAGGCCTATATGAGGCCTATATAAAATTATGGACAAACAAACAAGCTCCTAATATTTTAGTCACGCTACAGAAACTACCTGCGCATCAAAATAAAGGAAAAATTTTAATGCCACGTTGACAAAAAGTACATAGGTGAACTATCCTCTAATTTGTTTTTAATTATTGTGGATATTTTTGGGATAATTGAGTATAAAAGAAACTGAGAAACTAAATATATACATCAGTAAATTATTGACTACACATCAGATAACAACGAATACTAAAGTAAACAGTATCTTTAGCAAATAATATCTTCAAATATTTTATTAAAATAACAAAAATAAATAAATATGAGTAGTTTTTCACATCTACACATTTCGGAAAATTTTACAATGTTCCGTGTTAAACCGATTGATATAACCGGCCTGATATTAACAAGTATCATTTTGGAACTGTTGAGACATACATGGATGTTTTTCAGTCGTTTTCAAATTAATAAAACCAAGGAATGTAAAACATGGACTACTATCAACGTTATGAGGAATCAAAGAATAATAATGGATCAAACACCAATGTTGAATATGCCTCTAGATATAGAGCGTGCTGCTATCAAACCGGAATATTTGTATGGTGATAACAGGATAACTTTGGATGATATTAAAACACAGATAAGAATTCGTCGCTTTTCACGCTGCCGTAGAAGATTAATTTTTACCTAAGAAGATTATTGAAAAATTATTAAAAATAATTAAATTGAAAATTATAAGTTATAAATTAATTTTGTAAAAGTTAAAATTTGTAAAAAAATAAAACAAAAATAATTTATTAAATAAATAATTTATGTTAAATAAATTAATTAAATATATTTCTTATAACCGAATGATGATTTTTTTAATTTAATAATATTTTTTTTTATCCTATTTAGAGATCAGTTCAGCTTTCCTAACATATATTCTCAATGTTCTTACTGCTTTCATTTGAAAGAGTCTCTTCTTTAATTATTTGTTTGACTACACTTGAATCCGAGATCTGATTTTATAGTACATATTTTGAAATTAATTTTATTTTGGGTTTTATTGGCATTGTTTTCTTTTATTGCATACCATTTAATCTGATAATTAATATATTTTTTTGGGGTCTATTAACATTCGTTTCTATACTTACGATATCCATTATCCAAACTGCTTCAATAGTTTAACTTCGCTTTTTAAAGTCTAATTTTATTCAATTTAAAATTCATTTTTATTTTAAGATTTGTTAAGTATGATCAGAAAGTTATCAGGGGTAACCTCTGTCTTCTTTCATTTTTTTTTTCCACCAAATCTTGAGTCCTTCCATTATTTTTCTAAATCTATAACTGTCATTTTTAGTTAAACTTTATTGTTTATTATATACCATAGTTTGTTAATGGTATTTCAAAGATTCATCATTGCAACTATTCGAAATGATATCGACTTTGATATCATAGATTAATTGATATATTGAGCAATTAACTTTGATCTTATAAATTAATTGTTATACTGAGCAATATCTTTTCATGCCATACCTAATTCTATTTTTTAATCAACATAAGAAAGGGAGTTTTTAGCATTATTTTTTCGGATCTTTAAATGTTTGTTTAGCTCTGAATGCTGCCATGAGAAACATATTAATAAAAGCATAGGTCTAACACTTAAAAGGATACACATTTGACTAGATGACATAACCCATTAAAAAATTTGCTTGTAATGCAACTCTGAAAGCCTTGAAAACTCTAATAAACAAGGACAGTTGACCCCGAAAAAGAAAACGTTGCTTTTGAGCACACTTTATAATAAATAACTTATAACTTTTTATACTTTATGATTTTGTGTCTTATAGCAATGCTGCTTCATCTATCTTCAGATAACTCATCAAAATATTGTATTCGGATATATTTTAAAAGTATCATGATATATCAGGAATGAAGATACAGACTTGGGAGTGTGCAAAAGCATGTCAAAGACAGAGCAACAAAATTTTTTTATTCTTTGGTTACCCAGACTAATTCAAAATTGCCCTCTCTTAAAACAAATACAATTTATATTACTACAGGGATATATATTAAGTATGGAACTACACTTCTATTAAATCATGTGAACATTATCATATTTCAACGGAACATTTGTTATAGTGAATCGCCCAAGTGATCTCAGACACTGTTGAGTGGACGTGCTTTAGACAATAACTCTCATATCATCAACCAAAAAATTAACTTTTTCTAGGAGACTGATATTCATTCATGTTTTACTTTTAGCTTTATATTTCATTTAATCGTGCTGATTATAGGCTGATCATTTTCAATAGATATGTTTAAATATGTAGTCAGCTATTAATAATGATTACATAAACCGGTACTCCATCTATGTAGCATCACTTAAAAATTAATATAACTTATTATATATTATATATTATTATATATTATATATTATTATATATTATTATATATTATTTATATATTTACATGTCATAATAATTGATATATATAAAAATTATGTATATATATGTCATAATATATATTAGATTAGATTAGATTATGCTGGCAGACCAAAAAGGCCACACATAGACCATTAAGGTCCATTGCGATACCAGATCAGATTCTTATTTTAGCTATTGTATGCATCACCTAGGATGCGCATTTCATTAGCAAAATTTATTAGGATTCCACCAGAAACTTCAGGTATGTGCTCCAGTCCTGTAAAACTGACAGCCCCCAAGTATTTTTGTCGAGTTCTCTAGAGAGCCGGGCAATGTTATATATGTTATAATTATTTATGTGTATACTTGAGGAAAACATAATTTGATCTTCTAGCTATTTTATTACAGACATATATAAATGTATGCAATGTATTACTAAAGTATATGTTTACTAGACAGATCTTATGCTTAACAAGAAACCTATTGCCCTGATCGCAATAGATTATTATTCTCTTTTACGTTATAAACTGAACAAATTTTTTAATTAAAGTTGCTGAAATTATATATAATATTAACACTTTTTTATCGTTTCTAGGCTGTTTATATGAGCACAACGGTTCCACAAAATATCAAAGGAAGTAAAATCGCTGGACGGCACACACCTACGAGAAATAGTTTAAGGCACAGTAGAATGCTTGTCGTCAACAATAAAACTCAGCAAGGTATTTTAATAAATACCTTTAACTTTAGTATAGTGAACTTTTATCTAATATTTAAAAAAATAATTATTTCAACTATCGTTACTATTTTATTTTAATTAATATCGTATTTAATTATTACTTCAAAGATAGTTGCAATCAATATTCTTTTTATAATAATTTTAAAGCGGAAATAATTCGTTTTAAATTGGTTTATAATAATGAAACTCAGTCGTCAATACGTGGTAACATTCTAGTTAGTATATATAAGAATAAAAATATAGAAATTATATCAATTAATATTAAATTGTTTAAAAACAAAGTAAAGAAAGAAACAGCAATTTCATTGTAATATAAAAATAAATCGAAAAACTTAAAAAATTAGAAAACACTCTTATAATTCAAAGCTAACCCATCTATATCCAAATTTAAACTGATCACATCAATTTTGAATAAATTTACCTAATTATTTAAATATAATATATAATAGATATATGTTAGAAAACCATTTGTTGTCATTAAAAATATATAACTGAACCATCAATTTGCTATGAAATATTCTCAATTCTTATTACTTATCACATTTCAACTTTAAAACTTTTAAAAAATAATAAAAAGAAAACAAAAGTGGATATTAATTTTAATCATTCCGATACTCAAGACATATTTCTGGAACTGTGGTTCCCTATTTTATAGCCTTGCACATATACAAATCATTATACCAGAGATGCATAAAGTATATTTAAATAATACAGTTTATTTTTTTGGTAAAAAAATGGTGTGGAACCACTGCTTTTAAAGAAACAAAAAAATAATATGCCTCTAACTATTCAGACGTCTTATTCAAATCATTCCAAATATAGCGCCAAACATAAAAACTACATTCATACTACGGATATATGTCTGAAGTAAATATAAATATCAGTATTATATTGTTACCAGTTAAAAATTTACCATACTATATTTATCAGGTCTTCGAACCGGAACTATTTTTATTCCAGTTCTGTTCAAAATAATATCGGTTCAGTTACGATTTTCGCTTCACCAAAAATGTAAAATTCTGTTATAAATTTTTTTTTATAAATAATTTTATTCAGCTTTCTAAAAGTTATAGTATAGAAAGCATAGTTTATTAAATACAAAAAAAAAACTACTAAAGTTTTCAAATAAATAGTGTTTAGACCTTTTAATTAATTTTTATTGATTAAAATTCTAACAAATAACAAGAGAGAGATGAGCATATATAAAACAGTACCCAACAGTTTTTACCTGTAAAAACAAATCTGAGGTATCTAAGCTAATATCTGTCTTTACGGGACACTGGTCCATAGGACGGCATGGATCTAGACTCTGCCTTTCCTGTGGTACCTCTTGTAGTACGTGTCTACCAGATCTTGAAGAAATGACAACAGAACACCTGATGTGTTTTTGTCCAGGTCTGGCCAGAACTAGGTTTAAGTTTCTAGCGGCCCCCTTCTTTAATTCACTTAGCGATATCTCCAGCATTAGCATTAGCCAGATTCTAGGCTTTGTTTATGCTTTGGCTGGTTCTAGTTTGACCCTCTTTCTACTACCCACTATCACGAGGTTTTTTGTGGATTCAAAACAGCTTTTTCTTTAGCTAATTCAGGAGGACTCGTCCTCCTTCCATCACAACTAACTAACTAACTACCCAACAGTTCGACACTGAACTGAATTAAACTGGTATATTTTATTTAGTTGGATTTCGGATTACACTCCGTACAAAATATCAATAATTTTGGTTAGCAGTTTACGATTCAGTTCTGGTTCGAAGGCTTGGTATTTATAATCTATTGAAAACATAGATATATCAATATAGTTAGTTAGAAGTAGCAATTTTATATACCGGACTTCCTTTGCTTAAAAATATTGACACGGTGTAATATATATGACATGATATGATATATTAATATGAACTTTAAGCATGATATATTTATAAACCAAGTCTTTATATATATAAAAGTGCAACTGTAAATAAAGGCTATTTATATATAATTTAATTCTATTAGTATTAATGTCAATATATATTTAGTAATATAAATACTAATACAATTTTATGTGTTTTTTAAATTTAGTTCTATTACCTTAAGTTCCAATAATCGATATTGTTAAGATTCACAATATATTGTTAAGAAAATATATATATTTTATTACATATATGGTACAATATATTATTTTCCGGTACACAACACTTTTTAAAAATGTTAAATTAAACGATTTTAATTTATTATAGAATAGTTAATTGTTTTTTTTTAAATATTTACATAAAATGAATTATTTATATTATAAAATTTAAATTTTCAAGGTGTTCAACATCCAAATCCAATGAACTTTAAATTTCCAAATCTGGTTCGCTGGCTTTTGATATTGGAAATTTTAATTGGTTTATTCGTAACATTCCTCTCGATTTGGGTGTTCTTTTTGACACCAAATACGGCAATACAAGATAATCCATATTGGAGTGGTTTAGCTGTAAGTATTTTAATTTAGAAAATTATTAATTATTCCTAATCAATTTACTTTAAATTCTTCTCGGATGAAGCTACTACTTGCCGGTATTCTTGGACTTGTGCTTGTACGTTATAAGCGTATAAAACGCAACAAGTTACGTGAAAATTGCTTTATTTTTCTGCGTGCCGATTTATATATCTTGTCATTGCTGGCGGTGCTACTATGTATACTGGCCGTGATTTGTGCCTCAATGCACTATGCGCGCCTTACTGCTTCTGACACTAAATGTGAAGCCACACTTATACTCCAGGAAGAAGGCTCATGCACATGTACATTCCATGCCGATGATGAGGCATTATCTGCAGTTAATGCAGTATCAAATAATGAAAGTGCGGTGCCTGAAACTGTTGAGAATCGTAGTTATAAAGTAGAATATAGGTACGCATTTATTGTATAAACATATATTTAATTCTAATAATTGATTTTGTTAATTATATATGGATAATCCAGAGAATTGAGTTGTGACGAAGTCAGAGGCAAATGGACTACGATACTGGGACTTTCAATTGCTTCTAATACACTTGGGTTTATAATTGCATTGGCTCTTATCTTACTGCTTGCCTGTTACAGACATAATTCAAAACGTATTTATGCGTCCGTCCACACAAGTACCTTTTAACACAATAACCATTTTATTTTAACATGTTTTGTATGTAATGTATTTGTAATTTTTTTAGTATTATGAACAAATGAATTTATGGGGGATTAAACAAAAGCTCAATCTGTACTTAATTACGACATTAATTAGCAGAATGTAATTCGTTAGTACTTCGGTTATCTCTTTTTTAAATTAAGCATTTAAATTTTTTCTTTATGAGAAAATTTGAACATTTTATTAACAATTAAAATAACATTTCTTACATTAGTTTTTAAGTATAAAAATGTATTTATTTTTTGATAATCTTTAAATAATTAATAATACATTTTAAATATTTTTTATATTTTGAATATATAAAATTTAAAACTATATTTGAACATTCAGTTTTACAATAAAGAAAAATTAATGTAAACTTGAAAATGCAGTGTCTCGAATTTTTAGAATGAGTTTTTAATGGCATATGTTTTTACTTAAATTTAATTAATAATTGATTTAAGTTATTTGCTAATATAAAAATATGTAATTTATTTTAAAATTATTTCAGCAGGAGGCAGTATGCTGTCACCGTACAGACAATACCAAATACTTGAATACCAAATTGTACGATCTACCCACTCACTACCAGCTAGAACGTGACCTATGTACGGTAAATCACGAGATCTGAAAAATATTAATAATTAATTTTAGTATAAAGTTTAGTGTGTATCAGAGAACTACAACGAGTCATAATTTTAATACTCAAAGTGCACTCATAAAAAACCAAATCTATAACGAAAACTATGAGGTGTTTATGAGCATCACATGTCAGCTGTTTGTAAGAATCAGGTGGAGTCGAATATACGAAAAATAGAGCCAGAATGCATATAAATGAAACACAGTCGAATATGATTCGAGTATGATTCGAGTGTTGAGTACTCATTGCAGTTATCTTTTGTATATATTATAAATGTAAACTCTACCTTAAGATTTGTGTTTGGTTGCGTTCAACAAAAGTTATTGCCCAACTCCATGGAAAGTCCCGCTTCTTTTCACAGCCCAAATAAGCTGTACTGCTGTGCAAAAATATTTCACGCACAATTGTCGTTTTATCATTTTTATCCTTTTTCGAAACAACAATTTTACCATCACGTAATTCACACTGATACGATTTGAAGGACTTTGTACGATTATCTGCGAATTTTAATTCTTTGCCAGGTGTGACGGTAGCCAAATTCTTAACTGCACGATCTACCTCACGTAATAAATCAACTGGCTTCACAACCAAATAATTATTTTTCCGATCATCTTCGGGCCAATAAGACCAGTTGAGCACAACTTCAAATACTTTAGTATCATGATGAAGTGGACGTTCTAAATTGTCATTCAATATAATCTCATGTAACGACACCTGATGTGTGGACATATTCATTTTGGGCGCCAGTTCTTGACATATCTCGTAAGCAGTTTTGGTGGGTGATATGGTGACATTTATTTGCTTTTTTTCCTGTATAATTAAAAAAAGAATCATTTTTATTATTTGCATATAATTAATTTAAAATGTATATATACATACCTCAGTTAAATTTTCTGGGCTTGGATTTAATGTAATCCACATTTTGAGATCTCCAGACTTTTTAACTGAATCCATAAGCGTTTCAGCGGCTGCATAATACTTCTGTAGGCATAGAAGCATTTCCTGTTCTTTTTTCTGCAATTAAAAGAAATATTAAAATATTGCTAGACCTTTTTATTTAATATATTGTATATATTTAATTCAAAATATATTTGCCAAATAGTATATATAGAAATGTCGCAATGTTAAATAATTGAAATTAGTTGGATTATTTATGGAAGAGTTATAAATAGTTGTCTGTTTTATAGTGGACTATAAGACTCTAGACTCTTCATATGGTCACATTCTGTTAACATAATTTAAGGGGCACACTAGTTGTTTCAATAGACCTATCGGGAAGCTATTTTGTCATTTTAATGTCTTTAACTTTTCTTATTGTTAAAAAGGAACAAACTCTTTTATAACCTGAACTACATAATAAATTAATATCTATGGAAATATCGCAGCTCTATTTCAGGAATAAAGCTTCAAACACTACTTATACTCACTAAAATGGCTACTACAAAACCTACATAAACTAACTATATTTGGTATCAATTAGAGCAATAAATCTATGCGTACTTTACAGATTAACCTAACTAACAAGATGTTGAAATCAAAGGCTAGGGAAGCGATAAAAGTGCTTAGTTATCCGTGGAGCAGTCTAAGTTGACTGACGTCATTGTGAAGCCCATCTGTTTTCTTGCCCCAACGCACACACCAATTTAAGTCCAATCGACCTTTGGACTCGTCCCCTCGAAGTAGCTAGGTTTCTTCGACTGGATCCTGGTTAGTTTCAAATTATTCCCACCCCTCCCTCTTCCCTCATCCCAACACTCACTCCCACTTTTTCCATTCCTTATCCCATGTATTCATCTTGTAATCCTTTCATGTTATCTGCTTTCAGGTCCCGGCGGGTTACAACAACAACAACTGACGTCATTGATTACTGGACATGAAAACTTCAAGTATCACCACAAAAAGATAACTTTTGTTGAGGAAGACATGAGTCCGAAATATATATATAGTCAGCCCATTCTCTTAATTAAAAAAAAAATTGTATTTGATACTCCTTCACTATGAAACACTGCTCTGTTCGAAAATACATAGATTATCATTTAGAGAATAAATATATAAAATTTTAAATGACTTTCCCATATTTTTAACGCATATGTGTATATTTAAGTATATCAACTAAAATATCAACTCAATTTTAATAACAAATATTTATAATATGAGTCTTTATATTTACCATTTCATCGACTGATAGCGGAAATAGATTCTTATATAGTAAAACTAAATCAGTCAATACATCAGCTTCTTTTGTTGAGTAAACCAGTTCCTCATTTCGCTAAAAAAAAAACCAAAAAATAAATATTATTTAAAGTACAATTTGGAGTTTATGCTTTAACTTACACGACTATGTAGAAGCGTAGGCCCCCAAATCATAGTTAAATTTTGTACGCTCATTTTGTTTTTAGACTTTTGCGAACTAATAAATGCTAAATGGCTAACAATTTTCTTTAAAGTTTCACGTTCTATTGTACCAAGTCTTTGCAGTAACTCCTTATAGACTTCAATTTTTTCAGTGGGTTTGGCTAACTCTGTGACGCATATGAAACTTTCAGAAAGTTTGCCCAGCAAACGTTCAGGAAGATCACGCATAAAACGTTTCAACACATTGGCAACATCATGTTCATTATATTCATTTCGTGTGATCTCCACGTTGAAAGCATCTGTTCTGAATGCTGACATTAATTTCACAATAGAATTTTCAGAGCCCGATTTTCGATAAATGCCCTCAGACATGGAGCCATGTATGTATACAAAATTAATGCACTTATCCACAATTACTGGCACATTGAATTTAGTCAATTGTTGATCGCTCAATGAGAATCCATTATTATGTGCCACTTCTCTTATGATGTGACGCCATATTTTGGTCTCCCGTGGTGAACTCATTATCATATATACAGTAAATGGTGGACAATCAATCATAAGTGTGGGGCCCGATTCAACGTGTAACTTTTTAATAGTCTCATCGCTATCTTTTAATACTGTAAAATAAATCAATAATTATTTATTATATTTTATTAGTTAATGTTAAAATATAACTAACCTATGCAGCGTGCTTTTCTTAAATCCATTTTTTCAACGTTTAATGTAGATTCACTCACAAAAACTAAGCGTCTACGACTCTTCTTTAAAACTAACCAAGTACCACTCCACTCAGACGTGATGGAGTTCTAAAAAAAATTAATTATAGTAATTAATTATAAAAAAAAATTGTTATGATTATTGTACCTTCAAATAACACCAACCAGCACGATAATAATGGCAAATATATTTTGGTGGAATGGCATTGGTTAAGCTCTCCAATAACTTTTGCATCCATACACCTCTGAAAAATAAAGAAATTTTGAATTAAAAATCTGTTATAAAGTAAAACGGACTGATTGATCCGCGCTCAGGATAGAGCAGGAGAACTCAGGATAGTGTAAATCTGGCTTTAATTTTTAATTAATAATATATTAAGAAGTAGAAATTAATTTAAAATTTATTTATCGCAAGCAATTCTACATATTTTTACAATATAACATTATGAAATAATGTTAAGTTACATAGAATAACAGTTAACTAGGATTTTAGTAGAGCCCACTGCGATTATGGACTTTTATTACAAGAAATTTTATGTAGTTATTTATAAAATTATTTATAATTCTGTAAAAATATATTTTGTTAGTTACCCTAGTTCAACTAGGGCGTAACCTGCTTGGCACAAACGTATGCTCACTGCGTACTAGTAAGATATGCTATCAGAATGGGTCTACACTATAAGAACTCTTATCGCGATTGTGCTTTTACGAATGGGAAAAAACCTGTATACCATCTCATATGACAGTGTTCATCCTTAGCTAGGAAAAAATTTCAAAAGCATTGAGGTTCTTTTTTGACCGACCTGATACAATAGTTATCCTATAATATTAGAGACTCGAACAAAGCCTATAAACTTGCTAGGTTGGCGCACTTTCACTTAAATGGAGAAGTTGTATCTTTCAGTGTTGTTTGTACGCCGAAAATTGCGGTTCTTTCGAGAATTTTTTTTATCTACGTATGAACAACGCTAATCCATGGTATCACAACTGTTCGTTGAGGTCAAATGGGTTTTGAACACAAGAAAGCTATTTCAACCTACACTAACCCAGTTACCCTAATATGGCTATTTAAAATAGACATATTGTCAGATTAATATGTTACTATTATTATTGAGACTTTCTCTTTTATTTACCTTTCGGATTCCTTGCTAACGCCATACAAATGCGAAATTCTGATTTGTTTACAATTTCCAGAATTACCAGTTGTCATTATTAAATTCGGATTAGACATTGCTTGTACATTGGATGCACTATTGCTACCATTCTTGGGTACTGATGTGGTTATTTCAAAACAATAGAAATGAGTTGAATTATCTGTAACACGATTATTGCTAACACATTGTAATGTTGTTATGTATTCGAGTGGTATAATCTCCTTAGGAGTTTTCATGTCTTGATCCAGGAATGTTTGAAATTGACGATCACGTAATATTGCCTTACGATTTTGCATCTCTTTTAGTATATCCTCAACAACACCCGATGGGAAACGTATTAAAGGTCCTTCATAACGAACCAAAAGTGGTGATAAACTTGGTCTGGGGACCATCTGTAACGTAACTTTAACTTCTGATTCACGTTGAGCAACTTTAAAACTAGATTTCCTCTTAAGTGCATCTACACGTATTTTAACATTTGTAAAGACATTCATGGAATTTTTTAGACGTGAAGCTATTGATTTTTGTTCATTTGGCAAATTGGAAGGTTTACCATCAGCACCGATAGCTTCTAAATACGACGGTGGACTTTCTCCACCTTCTATATTCATTTTATTAAATGGATTTACACGAGCCTGTGAGCCATTTTCTTTGTTCTCGTTTACAAACCAATTTGTACGATTTTGTGTAGGTTTAGATATATCCACAATATCAGCTGTAACTTTTTTCTGTTCAACGCGACTTAAATAGGTTTTAATTTGTTCTTCATCATTATCTTCTAGTATATTTTCAGCACTTTCAGAGAGTAATTGTGCATTTTGATGTACAATTTTCATTTGATTTGTAGATGTGGATGTTGAAGTTGATGTTGATGACTTTTTAGCCGTTGATGTGGATGGCGTAGGTAGGACAACAGTTTGTGGCATTAGTTCTTTCAAAGGTAACTGTGCTGCACTATTAGCAGTTGTATTTAAGTTTTCTTCTTCTGACGTACAGACGCTCACATCGTCTTCATACTTTGATTTACCTCGCGTAACTGTACCATAAGTTTCTTCTTCTAACAGATGTTCTAATAATAGTAATTCATTACTTTTATCACTATGGTATATGGTGGATGATTTACGTAGCATCAATGGATCGAACTCCTGTATAACTTCTCTTGATGGCATTACCCAACCACCTACAGCGCCAGCACTTGATTCGTTACAAGTTTCAATTCTTTTGTCTTTACATTTAGGCGGTAAGGGAACACTGATACTTGTTTCCATTTCAAATACTTTACCATAAGTAGCTTCTTGATTTGCATACACTGGTTCTGATGACGAAGTGTCACTATCATTGCCTGTATCTGCAAAATACTCCCATGAATCACTACGTTCGGGTTTAGGTGTTCGAGCTTCAGCTGATTTTATACGTTCACGTAAAAACAACGATTCCTCACGCGCAGATTCTTCTTCCTCTAAATTCAGTTGTTGCAACTCGGCAGAATCAACATTTGGACGTAACGAACCCTCAGCACTGGAAGGAGAAATTGCTGGTGCCCGTCTTAACTGTATTTCTTCATAGTTTTTACGACGTTTTTGTCGTATGGGTGGCTGTATTGAATTCAATTTACCGTAGACATTATCTGCAACAGTTACCTCCTTCGGTAAAGCAGGTGGTGGAAAAGCAGGCATTGGTAATGAGGGTACATCTATGGAGTCTCGTGATGCAGCATCTGAAGAATCCATGGAGTTTTCTTCAACAACCTTATTTAAATTTACATTACTACGTTGTTTACTTAAAGCAATATTTGCTGCTTCCTCTGATATATGTTTTGGTAGTATTAACGAACGGCTCATGGGTATGTTACGTTGAAAACTGCTTGAGGGAGTTGCTTTTAAAGCGTCTTCATAAGTTGGCGGTTGTGTTAGATTTGTTGTGTTGTGCGCTACTTTTAAACTACGCGGTACTTCATAAGAGTGTTCATCTTCTTCCGGTACACTTAAGTCATTAATACCGTCAGCTTTCTTCTGTAGCGGGCTGTTAAATGAAATTGTATGAAAGACACTGTCGTTTGGTGGCAAAGTTTGTGGACGTTCTGAATTATATTGCGTTGGCATTTTATCCTTGTCTTTGAACTTTTCTTTTTTATTTAGCGTAAAATTCACGCCCAAACGTTTACTAGCAGTTTTAATACGTTGGCTTGTTTCGGTTCCAAGATTGCTCAATAATTCTGTAGAAGATTTTAAATTTTTATCTAGTTTATGTTTGGCACCTTTAGCGCGTGATGCGACACGTTCGCCTATTGACTCCGTAAGCAGCTTTGATGTTACTCCCAAAGATTTCAATAGATCACTGAAAGTATAAAATAGATATATAATATAAAAATATATTTTAAAAATATTTTATATACGGCATATATGTAGTTAGTTCAGATAATTGTTTCAAATATACATGCAAGCGATAGGTTAGAGGTTTTATTGATAATTCATACCATGCCAATCAAGTTTCTAAACTAAACTAAACTAAACATGCATTTTAAATTTATTTTATTTTAAAGTTTTTGTTTTACTATACAACATTCTACTTAGACAATAAATTTCTGTTCCAAAAATATTCAGTTACTTCCCCCAACTACAAGTTTCACACGTCCTAAGAAACATATAGGAAATATGTAGGAAATATATCTATAAATAGAGTCTCTTAATTAGTCTTGTGATTATAAATAGAAGATTTTGACATTGAGTTATGTAGACAGGCGCGTGCTTGTGAAGAATATAGCAAGAGTGTGAAGGGCACGTAAAATAATAAACAGATGTTACCAGAAGAAATTGTTTAAAATAGTATTAATGACTTTATAAAGGAACTGTAATGAATCTATGCTATAGATACTATTTAAACCATAATTAAATATAATAAATAATATATGTGTAATACATTATAAAAAACAGATGCTTAAAGACTGAAATAATTTAAAATAAATTATATATTTGTTAGTTAAAACGTTAACTACAAGTCCTTGTCTCTACCCTGGCTCTAACAAATATGGCTAAGAAGAGTTTTTGCTGAAAATAATCTCCTGTATACTCAGTGACATATTTCAGTTATGATAGTAAGTCCTCATTTGAAACATCTAATGTATTATAAGAGAAAATACTCCAATACTAGAATATGCCCAGACCGCTACACATAAAAGCCAAATACACACATAAAAATAACGCTTTATATTAAAGATACATGTCGATAGAAGAACTGTCAGAACAACATCAACCGCTATTAAGTACTATATATAATAAAGAAATAATATTTATATTAGAGAAAAAGACAAAGGCAAAATTGTATTAAACTTTTATATCCAGTATATACTTCATTTGTTGGCTTCTTCTTTAAACTCATAGATGATCTAACAGAAGAGGTTTGTATAGTCATGAAATTTTATTACAATTGTAAAAAGTCAGTAAAAATAACTAAATCACTTCTAATTTATCATTTTTAATTGAGGACATAAAGTCAACTCTTCTTATATGAATGCAAGATTTTACGGAAAGTCAATGGTCCTATAAAATCAACAGATAATTCGATACAATAACGCTATCGAAAATATTATAAAGAGTCAAATTGTTTTCAGATACGTTAAATACTTAAGGTGATTGGGGTACTTAGCAGAAGTATCTGTTAATAGAGCATCTTAATGAGCTGTATATATAAAGACCATACGGAAAAAAGAAGACGCCACCAAAAAGAAGGATTGATACTATATACAACGATTCAAGCACATTGAAAATAAAAGATTAGAGAAGAGATATGATAAAATGAAGATGATAGAACATTTTTACTTTTGATAGTAATAAATAAAAATTTCACTAACTATCAAAATTAGCTTAACTAATAACAATAATTGAATTTCAAAATTAGCTAAAAATTTAATTAATTAAAAATAATAAAAAAAATTTGGTTGTTGCAATTTACTACATTTTCATAAAAACATCTCCATTGAAAATAATAGTTGATATTAAGAATTTAGTTTCCACAAACGGAACGGATTATGGATTGCAAGAATATTAGACAAGAAGAATAGTGATGATTTCAGACAATGGACTTAAGATCGATTAAGTACAAGTTATGGATTCTTTGACTTTATATATAATAAGGAATATAAATAACACAATGGTACCTTATGGGCCAATTAGGTCTATTAAATCCAAACCATTCGATATATGTAAACTATATATATTTATATATTTAAATAAATTAGAGATGGAGCGACAAGTCTTCCAAACAATTAATAGTCTGTTCACCTAGTTATTACAACTAAAACCGTCGTATGATTTGCTCGCCATAAACGTACTGCTAACATAAAGCGGGTTAAGTGAAGTCATAAAATCTATTCCGCAAGAAACGCTTTATAGCTTTTAATACGATTGGCAATATAGAAAATTAGTAGTCCGACTTTAAAACGAAAAATTGATTGTCACATTAATACTTATATATTAAAATTAAATAATATTGAAATTTAAATATATGAAAGGTGGAAGAATCAGTCTTCCAAACAATCAATGTTTGTTCGCCTAATACATACGTCAGATTTAAGGTCGTTGTATATATACCGTTTACATGAAGCGTGTTATAGCCTGACTGTAAAATCTTTAACCAAAGAGAAACATTACTAACTATAATCCGACCGATATTGTTATTGTTATAAACGCTTCCATTATTCAAAATTTGTATATTTATGGGTAAGGAACTAATAATAAAACAAGTTTAAATAAATAATGATAAATAATGATTTTTAAAAGTCAGGTCAAATATTCACTAATTTTAGTGGTTCTAATTGTGTTAGAAGCTAGAAAATAATAGCAACCAATTCTTTGGAAAAAAAACTGTATATGAAGATAAAAAATTAAATTATTCAGATTCTTAAAAAAATGTATTGTACTATAACTTATATTATAACCTTTTCTTTTGTATTAATTGCCATTGAAATTATAATTATTGTAAACAGGTAAAAATTGAATTCAATGAGGAGGACTATCTTCTAAATATCAATAAATTGACAAACATTTCTCTAGAAAAAGATAAAAAAGTAATTTAAAAAATAACTGCTAAAAAAATATTTGCTTTCTAGGTATGAAATCCGTCAATGCAAGAAAAAACTTGAAAGTAAAAAACAACTGTTATCTAAATATTTATTTCCTACATAGATCTCGATATTATAAATGTTAAAAACAATTTTGGTATAAACAGGTACTAGGACGAATCTGAGGCAATTTCCATGTAAATTATTTATAGATCTGTGACATTGCCCCAAAATTTGGTCATTTCTTGGGAAAGAATGTGTTAAGCTCTCTCTAGGAGATATCCACGCCCTCATAAGTTTTGCAAGAACCTCAAAATGGTTAAATGGCTAATCTAATCTTCTCTAAAATTCTTGTTATTAAATGTCCTCTTTCAAATACAAAAGGTGTTTAGATAAAACCATCTCGCACTGTTTAAAAGTCTAAAACTAGTTCCATAAGTTATACTGTTGAAACAGTGGTATTGCAATAGACCCGTAGGGTGTAATTGAGTTGATCAAGTAGACCAACTGCCTCTTTAACCTAACCTAACTTAAGTTTTCCAAAATTATTTATTATTAGATGTTCCCCTTCAAGTAGGTGCAGGTGTTTAAGGCCATCCTGCGGTTTATGTGAATCACATGGTTTCATAAGTAATACGGTTAAGGTCTCGTGTTGAATAGCGATATCACAATGGACCTACTTAAGTCAGCTAACCCAACTTTCCCAAAATTTTGTATAAATTATTGAGATTATATATATGCAAATCTTAAAATTATAACAATAATCTAAAAAAAAAATAATTATTAATTTGATCTATTGTCAGTCGCATCCCAATTATTTTCTGCCATTTTTAGGGCTGTCTTTAAAGCGGTTAATAAATTTAATATATTTAATTAATAATTTTGTTTGATTATTTACTTAGAGTAAGTCAAATAATCTTTCATTGCCAAAACCATGATTTTAATACTACAATAAAAAATTATATATATATAATTATATAAAATCCGACAACCAATATTCAATATAAGCAAAACTAGTACTTTCATGCTACGAGTATATACAAAAGTAAAAGAAATTAGCGAAAGCATTACTTGGTATCAGAATCATTGCAGAAATTTTCATGGTTTGTGGCAGAGTTGACGACTAAGTCGTTGGTGTTGTTGCTACTTAAATCACTAACATTCAATTCGTTATCAGTAGCAGAACTGTCAAAGGATATATCCTCGTCGCTATCATGCTCTACATACCCTGGTGACGGTGATTTAAATTCTTTCTTTGAGCCTTCAGAGCTACCAGTCGAGTCATCAAACGATGAATTGAGTGTGCCATTTGAAGCAGATTTTTGCGCTTTACTATTGGAAAAGTGGCTGTCCCCTAAATTATAGGAACCGGCATTATTACAACTGCTGGTCGTAGAAAGTTCACTGCAAATGGAATGGCGTGATTGAATTTTATCTTGCTCTACATTGATAACACTTTTCGGCGGTAATTCAGGTGCTTTACGCAAGATTGGAGTGCCAGTAACACTTTTACTTATGGCACCAGCATTGTTTGGTATTGTTACTGCATTACTTGAAGAATTTTCGTATATATCCTCATTATTGGTTGGGTTGTCTGAATTTTGTGGTTTACGTGGTCTTGGCACGGGTGTGGGAGTCGTATAAAGATCTATTGGTACATTCTCATTACAATCTGGACCATACAAATCATTTGTTTCAGTTAAAATTGATTTATTGTTTGTTGATGTCTCCTCTTCCGTTAGAGCGCCAAGGAAGACTTTATTATTTGGTAATTTATCCGCACAGTTGGTTAAATTATGTATATTTTCAGTATTAATGTTTAAGTTTTTATTTATTAAATCGATTGTAACATTTTCGTATTCGCTTTTCCGTAACTCTGGATAAAGCCGTCTAGGAGCGGGTACAGGGCGACATAATTCATCTTGTTCCATATTGACTGTAAATATAAAATATAAAAAATTATTATAATTATATTTCAAAATCATTGTATATTATACTACATAACTAAATATATTTATTTGGGATATAAACTGATTTGTTTTTCCTAAAAAAACATAGAGAGAGTACTAAGAAAAAAACAATTATAATAGATATATTGGCCTTAAATTTAAATGGAATATGTATGAGATATCAAAAACGAAAAAAACTTATTTATTAATGTTGAAAGTCCTTGCTACAAATAAGGAATAAAATAACACAGAAAAAAAATTTTTACCTGCAAAAGGACATTAGTTGTTTTTTCAGGCAATGTTTACTAACAGATCTCGTAGCTAACCCTGCTGCTACCTGTCCTATGAAATCCTTTAAATATTAGAGTATAAAAGAAACTCACAAAGTACATTCCCATATCATTCGTTACAAAACATTAAACTGAACAGTACATACTTGTATTATTGAAATTCAACGAGTTTTCTATTAATCTTTACATCAAAATGAGTCGAATTGGAATTCAACGAAAATTTTCGAAATGCCGTCTTGGTATATTCGGTTTAATCATTAAATTTGTAGAATTTTTACAAAATATATTAACTAACGTAAAAAATAAACTGATGGAAGCTATATATGTACCGCCGAGAGAGCGACCAGCTGAACGTGAACACGGTGTAACTATAAACGGCATTGCAATCAAATACCGAAATGTTACCAACAGAAGAAAATCGGATGCTACGAAAGAAACCGCCCCAACACGCACAAGAAGTCAAACGAAATTAGCTGAAAAAACTGGTACCTTAAAAAAAGCTCCAATAACTATTACAAAAAGCCAAACCAAAACGAAAATACCAAAATCAAGTGTAAATAATGAAACCACAGTGCCAGCTATGAAACCAATTATGAGGGCACAAATGAAATCACAACATGCTATTGAGTCAAAGCCAAGGATACCATCTAGAGTGCATTTTGTGGAGCCTTCAATACGTAAATCGAAAACTGCTCTAATGCGTGATACACCGTCGAGTTCAAAACCTGCTTTATTCAGGCATGATACTCCAAGATATCCACTTAACAAAGCAAAGGTAGAACCAGTAGTTACTAAAAATTTATCTGGTTATGCTACAAAACCAATCAATTCGGCGTCAGTGACTTCACGTTCTTATAGAAAAACTGAGTGTGATGCAACCAAGAATATTTTAAGGAAAAAATCAACTGCTGTAGAAACGCAAAAGTATATATTACACACCCACATGTCACCCGCACCAACTGCTCCGACGTTGTGTAACTCTCCAAAAAAAGAACCAAAAACTGATATCTTTAATGAACCGAAGAAAGAAATAAAAACTGAACCAACTGCTGAACAAAAAATCGAACCAAAAACTGATAAAGAACCAAAAAATTCAGAAACATTTCGTAATGAGAATGTCCTACTTAAATCACCGAAAAAGAAACCGAAATCAGGAGAGGAACACGAACATTCGTTCGACGTTATTACATCGAGATTCTCTGGAACAATTTTGAAATTGGATGATAAAAGAATCGCATGTTCCAGTTTGACCATCAACTCGGTTGATATTGATGTTTGGTCCACACCGTTGCAGCACAAGTTTAAGTGGGACGTTCTACATAACTATTTGGTCCAAGGAAAGCGAATTAAGGAAGCAACCAGTAACGGTAGAGCGCGTAAGCAATTGAACTATTAAATCATAGTCTTTTCGATTGATGGATCAATTTTTTAATAATAACAAACAACAAAATGTATATTATATGAATTAAAAATTTAGCAATAGAATATTTAAACTTTTTATGCTTTTAAACATTTTTAAAATGAAAATTTTTTAATAATTTTAATGATATGTAATTTAAATGTTTTTTAAAATTAAAAAATAAATTAATATTTTAAGGAAAAATGAAAATAATAAATTTAAATTAAAATTAAAATATTTAAAAAAAATTTTCAAATTTTTAAAATATTATTATATTATTATTCTTTATAATAATTGTATTGGTAAAATGTAGGTAAAATGAAATGAATTAATTTATTAATAATTTTTGTAATAATAATAAAATATAATAAATCCTATAATAAAATATAAGATTGGTTTTGCACTTCTAATAAAAAAAATTATGGAAGATTTTGGGAAAATACATTGTCAATGACCACTTCTCCAAAAAAAAAATTTTGTAGGGATTAAAAAAATAACAATTCATCAGATTAATATCAGAAAATTTTCAATCAGTGATTGATTTTCAGCATCTTTCCGAACAGTTGCCGAATTCGGTTTTTTTTAAGTCATGAACTATTTCAAAATAGTTCATTCTAATTTACCTAATTAGATAATACCTAATTTTAATCGGGTGACTCCATAATTCTTTTTTTAGTTTAGATTTATATAAATAAAAAAAAAGAATCCCCAAATTCGGCTCTTAATCAGGATAGTTTTTTTATTAAAGTTTTTAATAAATAATATATATTAATATAATATAATATATATATTCTTTGAATATAAATTCTATACACACGAAAGAGTGATATTACATTAGACATTACAATATAATTCTTTATTCTATTCTATATAAATAATTACATTTAAATTTAAAACCATATATATTTTATTCTACTATATTTTCATATATTAGGATAAAAATTAAAATCGACACTGGTAAAAAAAATTGTAAAATATTTAAAATATACAAAAATACATATAAATATTTGAAAAGATTTCAGTCTTTAATAGGAATTTTTCATACTTAAAAAAATAATGAACAATCGTCAAAATGAATGCGAAAACATTATAGTAATTAACCATGGATGACAAAATTATATATGAGAAAAACAATTATATTGGACACTTAAATACTTTATATTATAGCCTATCTGTATATTTTACTTATTAGAAATATCTGAATTTTAAATTTTTTACTAATTTACATATTTACAATGCTGTCATCCTCAGTTAATAAATTCGTCTGAAATTACAGTCTGAAAAGGTTATCAGTTACATCCCAATAAATAGTAAATATATATAAATGTATATAATAAACATAAATACTATATATATTTTTATAACATTTTTTTACAATCTCATAGATTAATTTATATTTATATATTAATTACAATTATTACATATAATATAAAAACTAAACGCTTTCCTGTCATTAACGTCATTAAACTATTATTATATTAAGAATTAATACTAATGAACTAATGTTATGAACTTGTTGAGTTTAATATATATTATTTTAATATATATTATGAAACGAATGTCGACGATATTCATGAACTTTTGATTATCATTGGCATTTAAGGATGTGGAATAACCAATATTAACTATTTTGGTTTATGTATTGATGATTTAATAAGATGAGAATTAATTAAATATTTACTTTATTGAATATAAAATGTGGTTTGTCGCCAACTTCATTACAACAAAACCAGTAAAATGGCAATAGTAAAACCATTATATAATTTAATCGTTTCTATTCTTACAGGATAATATTTAATGATCAAATAACTTTCAGAGAACAGAAAGAACAATAAAAATGAATTATTATATTATAAATTATAATATATGAATTATTATAATTTAATTTATATGGACGAAAGCTAAGTCAAAGTCATACATTTTTCTATATCTGCATAAAAACAGCAAAATTTGAATAACTATAACTTCTATGCAGATATAAAATAACTTTATATTTATGAATTTGAATAAGCTTTCTTGCATATAAATTAATTTTTAATGTTTAATACAATATAATATTTAATAAGTATTAACTAATATTATTAAATATGGAAAAACATATTTTTTTAGCTAATAAATACTAAAACATCCTTGCCAAGACTTCTAATAACATTAATGTGTTCTTATAGACAAATAAATAAAGTAACCCTAAAGTACCTGAAAAAGGACATTTGTTTTTTTTACAACCGTTGTTTACTAACAGATCTCTATACCTGTTGTTACCTGTCTTATAAGGTCCTTGGAAAGTTACAGCATAAAAGCTAAGCACATATTAGGATCCAACATCATTCGCTACAAATCATTGAAGTGAACATTACATATTCGTATTCTTACATTTTTCAAGTGAATTATTAAATTCTTCATTAAAATGGATCGAATTGGAAATCAACTCAGTATTTATGGCTTATTCATCATTTTCGTCGAATTCTTACAATATATATTAACTTGTTTAAAAACTAAACTGAAAGAAGCTGAACTGGAAACTTCAGTTAATAACATTACAATAACAGATACTCCGAAGGAAACTACAACGACACAAACAGATTTACCTGAAAAAATTGACCCACCAAAAGAAACTCCAACAACCAGCTCAATATGTCAAATAAGATCAACTAATAACAATGGCATCTCTATCATTTCGAAAATACCAAAACCAACATTGAAAAATAGTACGACAATACCAACTTTAAAGCAAATCTTGCCAATTACAAGACCAATTATCAAAATACATACTACTAAAGATGAACCCAGTATTACGTCAAGAGTGCATATTGCGGACCGCTCTACAATCAACTCAAAAGCTGATCCACCTTTTAATACACCACGAATTTCAAGGTCTACTATATTTAGACCTGATACACCTAGATATCAATCTTCATGTGGAACTACTGAAGTACCAATCGATTTAACAACAGCAAAAACTTATCCGAAAGAAGAACCAACAACTAAAACTTGCAAAATTAATTTTGAAGTGAAAGAATCAAAACCTAAAGTTTTAAAATCAATTTTGAAGACTCAATACAAAGAATCATCAGCCACATCTAAACTTTCTACTGAAACTAAACCGAGGCCTACACGTAGAGTGCATTTTGCCGACTCTGTAACAGATAAATCGGAAGCTACTCTAAATGGTTATACCTCATCAATTTCAAGGTCTAGATCATATAGACGGAATAACCGCAAGCATGAATTGAATAAATCAAAAGTCAAACCGATCGATTTGACAACAGCACAATATATTTCGAAAAAAGAAGAAATA